GGTAATAATTACTAATTATTATTATCATAATAATATAATATATTTATATATATATATATAATATATAATATTATAAAACTATGCATTGCGACATACGCATGCGATAATATACGATATTCTATCGTCGTACGCACTGGACCAGAATTAAAACACAATAATAGGCAATAATATATTATTTTTATCGTGATATGCGTACGCCCACCACACGACTCGTTCGGTACCGATTCCGTTTACGGAATGAGCCTTCACCGCGGCCCTCGTCGATTGTACCGACGAGTTTCGAGTGCTGCTGGCGGAATGTCTTCTTTGGTTATTATTATTTATTCCAGATGACACGTCTTGGGAGACGAATGGTATCCACTTTGGTACGTGACGTTTGCCGCGGTATATCCAATTTTATATAAATGCGAAAAACCGGCTGGATGCGGAGAACACCACTCGTGTGTTGTAATCAAATCGTACAGAAAAAAAAATACAAACTGTGGGTACATATTAACATAATGATAATAATATATTACAACTTTTCAGTCACCCATACTAATAAATCATATATTTTCCAAAATAAATATAGTAAATGAAAACGAATCCTGACGGATTTGTCGCGTCATTAGAAAATCGCAGAGTGAGCATATAGGTAATATTTAAAATGACTTCCTCGAGTGTTGGTTGCCATTATAAATCGCATTAGTGACGAAAAATTAGTTAATAATATAATTAATATTATAACTAATGAGTTACAGCTAGTTTGTGTGGTCCATTACAGACTTCGAGTTTCGTTTTTAAAAAAACTCGAACAAAGTTAATAAGACAAGTGTTGCTGTATAGTACATCAAATCTATCTACGCATATAATTTGTTTTGTGTGAGTTTTTTTTAAAACTTTTGACCATTGATTATTATAATTTCTTGAACTCTCGCATCGACAGTAAGAAAAGTGTAAAATCAAAAGTGGGGTAAATAACACTACCACACATATTATTAAACCTGAAGCAGAGACATCAGAGTTGTTACAAACGCTTTTATTTTTGATGATTGTTGTTAAATATACTCACAATTTTGAGATATATATGAACAGATTTACTGAAAGATTATTTATAAGCGCTAAAATATTTATTATTATTAAGGGTACCTACTCCGTATATCTTTGAAATTAATGTACCTCCTTTGAAAAAAATTAATAAAACCAAAAAATCGAATAAGGTAAAAAAAAATAGTTTTTATTCTACGAAATATATACATAATAATATATTATTATATACGACGTATATACACGCGTTGACATGAACAGGTACAATGGTTAAATCAATTCGTTTACGTTACATTATTATATTACATTTTACAAAATGTCAACTCGGATCCTCCAGACCTTGTTAATAACTGTGGCTTCCGTGTTCGCCGAAGGAGTGTTCGCTGTATGAGTGTTCATCGTAATGGTGGTGGTGTGGCACTTCGTATGGCACAGGGACTTCGACTTTGACTGGAAATTTGACAGGGTACGGCACTGCTTTCTCGACCGTGTACGGCACTGGTTTTTCGACGGGATACGGCACGTGCTTCTCGACTGTCACTGGGTAAGGGCGGTCCACTGGCACTTTGACCGGGTAGGGAACGTGCTTCTCAACGGTGTAAGGGACGTGCTTCTCAACGGGAACGTGGACGGTGTACGGCTTGTCGACGGGTACCTTGACTTCATATGGTACGTGCTTGGTGACCTCGTAAGGGACGCGCTTCTCCACGTAAACGGTGTAAGGTTTGGGAACGTGGACGGTGTAAGGTTTGTCGACGGGTACCTTGACTTCATAAGGAACCTGTTTGTAGACGGTGTACGGTTGGGGTACCTTCACTTTGACTTCGTACGGAACGGGCTTGTCGACGTGCACTGGGTATGGCTTGGGCACGTGCACTGGGTAAGGGCGGTCGACTGGCACCTCGACCTTTACAGGGTATGGTACGTGTTTCTCGACCTCGACAGGGTACGGTTGGGCGACTTCCTTGATGATGGTTTTGGACAGCACTTGTGGTTCGTGGTGGAATTCATGACCGGTCAGTTCGTGGCCGAAACCACCGGAGCCGTATCCATAGCCGGTGTCGAAAATGCCTCTCTTACCTTGGCTTTTACTGTCGTCGGTGGTTGCTGCGGGGGTGGCAGCTTTGTCAGCCGATTTTTCTGCAGCGTTTTCCAACGCCAATGCGTAGGCGCATAGGCCGAACACGCACACTATGTTGAAGACTCCTCTCATATTGTTGTTGGACTTTGGATCGGATCGATCGACTGATGCTATTCTGTTGGATTCGTCCGTTTTTGTAGTGTCCTGAACACCCATGATGGAAGTCATTTTCATCTCCCCCACCAAGACGGGGGGGAGGCGAGCTCTACATACTTTCCAATGCTATTAGAATGGCTCCCATGTAATCTTCATACGCCTATTTGAACCTTGAAAAGTAAACGTAACTTAAGTATTGCTCAGTATTATTACAGCGTAGGTGACTGTTACAAATACACGCATAGTAGGTATACCTACCTATATAATATAACTTGTGTTTTCAACGTAGCGTGCATATACTCAATGAAAATGTAGAACTCTTTGTTTTTATCGACATTGCGACTTCGTATTGTATTACTACACTCAAATCAGATTACACACGATTTAAAATGCGTTAATTAAAAATACTGTGATATAATACAAATGTTTTTATAATATTATTATTGACATATAATTTAAAAAAAAAATCAGTTAACGAGAAGTATCCCTGCATACGGAATTACCTAGTGTTCAAGTGTCGTTGAATTTAGTGAGCTTTCATAACGATTCACTGTAATATAATTTATAATTATAATATTATCCACTTATGTACTAAACGAGTTTTATTTTCGAAAAATATTTACCCACCTTTTATGTTATAATTGGTTTATAAATAAATCGTTCTCATAAATTGTTGAAATTTGGCAAACTTTCCACTAATCTACTCCCCGATACCTATTTAGGGTGGGTTGTTAGGGTATATTATATCGAAAAAAATTACTTTACGGGAATAACTCTCAAGCTTTGTAGAATTGTCAGATTTTGATGACTGTTTTTTTATCTGAAAAAAGAAGACTTCCTACAGCCTGCATCGATCTCTGATTTTGTATTTTATTTCAAATAATTGCATAGAAAAAAATTTTAAAAAAATGCTTTTTATCTTGTATTTTTTTAGACATATTATAAAGTTTGAGAATAGAATATTAAAAAACAGAGATTGTAAAATATTTCCTTCTAGAAATTAAAAAAAAATTATGAAATTCGCTTGATTCTACAAGGCGATATTGTTATTCCCGCTGAGTGTATTTTTGAGGACGAAATGACATCGGCACCGGGCGCCTTAATAGAAGTTTGAAAATACTAAAAACATATAGGCACATTTTTTTTTTATATAAATTTAAAGTTCAAATTATTTTTCAGTTAGAAATTCAGAAAAGTTTATAGTCAACATTATAAATTTTAGTGTACGATGCCCAACAGGTTTTTCTGCATCTATTAAGAAAAAAAAGTTAGTGATGCTATTTATAGCCATGAGATATTTTTAATTTATATATATTTTTTCTTCAACTATATTAAATTTGATTATTTATACAAATATGTTAGAATAACACAACTTCTTCACTCAGAATCGTTTTTGTCTGTAATAATTTATAATTGAATTCAATAACACATCCATTACAACGACATGCTCGACAACTATTGAATAACAGAGCTAGCGATACTTACTTTTCCACCTTTTTTTCCTTATATTTTTTGCTGCATGTATTAACGAACTTTTTGGGAGCTCAAACTGTATAATATTTACATGCATAGGTAATTTTGAAACGTTTGGTTCAATAAGTCCCGAACCCTACCTAGCTATAACATAAAATTTGTAATATAACTTTCCATTAGCTTCAATTTCTATTTTTGAACAATTATATGTTTGGTTAATATGAACATTTTTTTTTTTTTTTTTTTTAAACGAATTTAAATAATTTAATAAGTCCATAGAATATTTTACATTTCAGTCTGGACTCTGCAGTCACACAAATATATAATACAACCCAGTCGGTGAATCTACGTGGATTCATTATCGCTTAATATGTATTAATTATATTTCTTATTGCATTAATTTAAATTATAATAATTATTATTTTAACTATTTATACAGTCTTAAAATAGAGATACAATTTTTCAAATTATTTATTGATTATGAACTATAAAGACAAAACAAGTTATAATTACCTAAATCATAAATTATCATATACATCGCCTACTGATATACTTTATACAATGAATAAATTATAAACATTATATTAACTTTATTTTATTACTTTTCGTTAGATAATAATAACATCGTAATAAACAACTGTCAAAAATAATTAATCAGATTATCAAGTTATTTGCATACTGATTTTCAATGAAAATATGAAAATTAAAATACAAGTAGCAAATTAATTCTAATTAGACTTTATAATTATATACATATAATACATTAGGTACGCGTAGGCATAATATATTGTAATATTCACGGACATTCAACATAATAAGAATGCCATTGCTGGTAGAATTTATTAATCGGATAATTAAACTAGTTTAATAAATTATAAATTGTTTTATAAATAAATATTACATGACATTGAGGTTGACCAAGCTTGGAATATTATAATATATTACCTAAACTAAGTCGGTGAGTAAAATATATATTGAAGAAGACGCGTTATACCTACAAGTAATAAAAAAAGTCTCGTTTTATTTCATTTCCTTGTACAACATCTCGAAGTGATTTAATAATAATATTGTCCATCATAAAAAAAAAAACGGTCAACGATGATGACCCACGATAGAAAGTACATTGGAAAAATACGATCGGTGGTGGGGATGAAGTGGTTCAGCAAAGACGAGTCTTCCTAGGTGGACACACAAATCACTACAAAAGCGTAGCACGCGGGCCAACGGACATCAGTCGACTGCATCTCTTTCAAATCGATCGACAATGAAGACGTTTTTACATATGACGTGCATTATTGGGTTGTGCACATTCGCGATGTGTGCGAACCAGCCCGAATCAAATATATCTAAAGAGAACAAGAATCACGACAAGAGAGGCATCATCGATACCGGCTATGGATACGGCTCGGGTTTCGATCTGCATGAGCCGGCTGGTGATCACCAGATACACCAAGAGAACCATGATCAACAAGTGCTTTCCAAAACTATCATCAAGGAAGTCGCCCAACCGTATCCGGTCGAGGTTGAGAAACGAGTACCGTACCCGGTAAAGGTCGAGGTGCCCGTCGACCGCCCTTATCCAGTGCACGTGCCCAAGCCATATCCAGTGCACGTCGACAAGCCCGTCCCGTATGAGGTCAAAGTCAATGTGCCACAACCGTACACCGTCTACAAGCAAGTCCCATATGAAGTCAAGGTACCCGTCGACAAACCGTACACCGTCCAAGTGCCCAAACCATACACCGTCTACGTGGAGAAGCGAGTACCTTACGAAGTCACCAAGCACGTCCCTTATCCGGTCAATGTGTACGTCGACAAACCGTACACAGTACACGTACCGGTAACGAAACACGTACCGTACACCGTCGAGAAGCGGGTGCCCTATACGGTCAACGTACCAGTCGACCGTCCTTACCAGGTTATCGTCGAGAAGCACGTCCCATACCCAGTCGACAAACCCGTACCGTACACCGTCGAAAAACCAGTGCCTTACCACGTCAAATTTCCCGTGAAAGTCGAAGTGCCTGTGCCGTACAAAGTAAACGTTCACGAAGAAAATTACTCTTCTGAGACAAAATACGAGGAAGAACAACCACAATATACCAATGATCAAAACGAACACGGCAGTTATTGATAAACGTGTCATATTTTTCTAGTCATAACTCATGTCACATTTCTGATTGAATAAATTGTAACCTAAGTCATATATATCTCTAACATTAAGATATGTTCGTTAAACGCGAGTATCACATACTATAATATTGTATAGTGTATATAGATAATGCATTTAAATAAAGACTATTTTTATAATAATTGTTGTATTTACCAATCGTATCCGAACCGTTATTAAACAAGAAAAAATATGTTTATGTGTGAAAACGATTTATCTCGTTGCAATATTATTTTTAATTCAAAAAAACATACAATTATGAATAAAAATAAATTAAATTGCCATGATATAAGAAATAATATTTTGCAGATATTAGTTACTAGGTAAAATTAACGGAATATTGGTATAATTTATTACCATATGATTATGAATAAAAATATATAAAATCATAAAATATATAATATTATGTAGATATATAAAATTCTCGTGTATATAATTATTTTAATAGTGGTAAATGTTGGATATTTTAACTATATTTTATTTTTATTAGACATAAATACTATATAGTTACTTTTTTCCCTTTTACTTTTTTTCGTAAAAAACATAATCTTTATTATCAACACAGTGTTACAAGCGTTTTAGATTTTAATATTTTATGTTTGTATTACGTTTCAGTTGAGATCACTATCAATCGTATATTTGGCACATTACTCACACGTCTTGTTATTATGAAAACGATTTTATTATACTTGAGTTAGTATTGTTTTTCATATAAATGAGTATTTTAAACTCTACTGTAACTAAATATTCGAGACAAGAATCTATCGTCCATGGGATCGAGATTAAGTAAAATATGTAGGTATAAAAAAGACCAAGTCGTTAAAGTCCCTGGTCGTTGTACATAAATCGACATGCGTCTAAATTATAGGTACATTATATCAACTGTGTTTGAACAAATTAGGTATATATTATGTTTACGAGGTTAATAACCATAAATGGCTAACTATTAGTCGTACAAATGATACTACATATTTTATGTCTCAGTTTTAAGATTTGTGTTCATAAAGAAATGAACGGAATACTGTGATGATATACATCACATTAATAAAAATATTACCAATAAGTCTAAGTACATACAAGCATTTGCAGTTACAATATTAACATTGGGTAGTCATAATATAAGTCCTTCATTTTCATGTCAGTATAATTTAATATAAGGTACACACTGAGTCAAAATCACTTGTCAAGAGAGAGAGTATTGAATAATAAGTTATAACTTATAAAACACGATTTTAGATATAATAAAACGTTTGGAGCCAAACAGTGTGCAAACTGTTCAGCCTTCGTGTGGTGTTGCCACAATAAAAAAAAAGATTTTGTAAACCCTATTGAAATAAAATGTCAGTAATAGTTTCCGCTAAATTACCTAATCTGTATAAATTATAATTTTGAAAACCATTTATAGCAGTCTTTCTCAAAGTTTAAGACCCGATTAAATATTAGGGGTGTTGGAGAGGACTAGAGTGACGTTAAGTGATTAAAAAAATCGAATGAATATGTTATTCTTATGCTTCAAGTCAAAATTAAATAGCAACTTCATGTTCATATCATTCCACTTACGACAGTTTTTAAGTAAATTCAAGCCTGATATTAAAGAGCCTGATGTTTAAGAGTATCAGGTTAATCATGATTCAGATAAGTGATTAATGTTTGAACTTTAAAAAATATGATCAAGTATTACTCGGGTATAAGAAATATTTATGGTTTATCTATATATATGTATATATATATATAAATGGAGTGTGAAAAATTGTCGTTACCTCATCAATCGAGAACGGTTGGTTCGATAAGGCTCAAATTTTTTTTAACATGTTCGTAATTGCCAGGAGAAGGTTTTTACGAAAGAAAATTTTAGGAAAATCTACCGGAAAAGCAGGATATCTGGATGTAAAAATACAACAGTGTATTATTTAATATTATATTGGTTCTTAATGTTCTTATTGGTTTTTCTGGCATGTTTGTTTTGTATTATTATTTTTAGTCAATATACATATTATAATCACAACAAAATCCCTTCGTAAACTACTTGTAAAAATGGCTAAGTAAAAAAATATAAGATCTTTAAGCACTGTAAAGATGTGATATTACCAATAAATGCTAAGTATATTGAATTTAAGTAAACTTATTTTGTTTCAATAATTTATTTACTCGGCTAGGAATTATTTCTTAAAAGAAACAAATTGTGATAAACAAAATAATGAAATGGTGAAGGACTATATTAAAATATATCTTATTATTATTTTAAAAATATTATTATTAATATTTATATACTATTCTAAATAATTCCTCGCCAAGTAAATAAATTGTCAAAACAAACTAAGTTTACTTAAATTCAATATACTTAGCATTTATTAATGATATCACATCTTTAAATCTAATATTTTTTTACTTAGCCATTTGAACATGAAGTTTACGAAGGGTTTTTGTTGTGATATCACTAACTTTTATCGTAAATATTGAATATTTCTACAATAATCTTTAAGAGCGGTAATATTGTTGGTAACATTGGCAACGCTGATGCGACGACGACGGCTGACTTGATTCTGAATTTAATATAAATTTCCATTAAAAAGTATTATTATAAACGCGAAAGTTTGTGACTTTGTTACTCTTTCACGTAAAAACTACTGGAACGATCTTGATGAAATTTTTACATTGTGTGTATTTTGGTCGAACTTAAAACATAGGCTAATTTAAAAAGGGAGAGGACCAACCCCAGAATGTGCTCAAACGGGGATTTAGAGATTTAGGGTGGAAATTTTTGTTTATAAAAGGTTGCCATGGGTTTTAAAACTATTATAATAATAATTTTTGGTTGCCATGAAATCAGTGTATTCATTCAATGCAGTTAATTTTTTTGTAAGCTGTTTTTTGATATTATATTATGTATGGCATTTACGTAAATATTGAGCATATTATACCCACATATAAAACGTATATAAAACAATCTTCGTGGTCGAGGAGGAAATATTGGTCGCCAGACTCCGCATTCACAATTAGTCCATCAGTTTAGGAGGAGTACAGTGACATACTTGGTATAACTTTGATACTATAGAGTTAAATTATAAAGTTACGTATAAAAGCACGGGGTCCGCGATCTACCGCAGGTAGATTGCCTACCTGATAATATACTGATGCGAATCAGAATTTTTATTCCAGGCCACAGGAAAGTAAAGATATATTTGGAACACCATAAACCGAATATTAAACAACGAATTGAACAAAGTTTGAATCATATAGTGTTGGTTTATTTAACGGAAAACGAAGTACACGGGATCAGCTATAGTTTAAATTTATAATAATTGCAATAATTAGGTACAGTTACTGGAAGTATTGATTCTGACAACGGGTGGTGGATTATATAAGTTTGAGAACCTGTGATTTAGAAGTATCCAGAGGCTACTACGAAGAGTAGTAGGTACCCAAAACTGATTTGACTTAATTTTCAGATTAAGGATCAACAATTTTAATTTACTTTTAATTAAGTTTATTGTAATTAAATGAGTGTTACAATGTATATAATATATAATAATATATTATACATAAATGTCATTATTGAAATAGTTTTGTTTTTATATTCTTCTATAGACTTTGATATATTGTATTGTATATAGATTTTTTTATTCAAAAACTATTGGAGAGCGTTGTAGTAAAAGGTAAAAGGTAAACAAAAAATTTCGTTCTATTTTACTACCTTAATAATGTGCCTAAAGTTACCCAACAAAACCAATCAGTTAGTTTAGTTAATTCTGATATTATCATATTTTCTTCAATGATAAATTCTAATCATTTATTTTGAATACAAATTATACTTTTTAAATGAAATTTACATAGAAAACCGTAAGTTATTTTTGAAATCCATAGAACATAGAACATGTAATTGGTAGACTAGGTGGTACAAAATATGTTTTAATATATAATTATGTGTCCAACATAAAATTGATGAAAGTAAATCTAGGTTATTGATTATCCAATAAAGATAGAATAATATGTACCTAAAGAAACAAATAATTTCATTCACAGTGACTTAATTTAAAACTGTCTTATCAAAAAATATAAATAATTTTTATTTCAATAATTCTACAACAGTATAGAAGATTTCATTAAAGTAAGTAAGTAAAATACTAAGATAAATTTACGGTTTTAATAATAATGATATAACAATTTGTTTGTTTTACATTATTTCCTTAAAATAAATATTATGAAATGTTATAAAAAATAAAAAAATAATGATAGTTAATATGGTCTAATAAACACGAATGACGATAATGTTGAATAGAAAGTTAATATACATACTAATATATCACCGGAGTAGGAGTAGGGAGCACATGGATGAAGCTTCCTCATTGAACATCACATAATTTTGTTCACTACAAAAGCTTAGCGCGCAGACTAAACAGGCATCAGTCGATCGTTTCATTCAAATCGTATAACAATGATGAGGATTTCACTGACAGTTTGCGTTATCGTGCTGTGCTGCAGCGTTTCTGCTTTTGGCGGAAAACTGCCAGACGAGAAGAAAACGTCTGACGACGGAAAAACCCACGACAAGAGAGGCATTTTCGACACCGGCTATGGATATGAAGCGGGTGACGATCATCAAGGACACGGCAAAGTATTGTCCAAAACCATCATCAAGGAAGTCGCCCAACCGTACCCAGTCGAAGTCGAGAAACACGTACCGTACCCAGTAAAGGTCGAAGTTCCCGTCGATCGTCCTTACCCAGTGCACGTGCCCAAGCCATATGCGGTCCATGTGGAGAAGCCCGTCCCATACGAAGTTAAAGTAAAGGTGCCGCAACCTTACACCGTTTACAAACACGTTCCATATGAAGTAAAGTATCCGGTTGACAAGCCGTACACCGTCCACGTGCCCAAACCGTACACCGTTTACGTGGAAAAGCGCGTCCCTTACGAGGTCACCAAACACGTCCCTTACACCGTAAAAGTGTACGTCGACAAACCTTACACCGTCCACGTACCAATAACGAAACACGTACCGTACACCGTCGAGAAGCCGGTACCCTATACGGTCAAAGTTCCGGTGGACCGCCCATACAAGGTTACCGTGGAGAAGCACGTGCCGTACCCTGTCGACAAACCCGTACCCTATACCGTCGAGAAACCAGTACCTTACCTGGTCAAATTTCCCGTGAAAGTCGAAGTGCCAGTGCCGTACAAGGAACACGAAAATGAAGACAAATACTCTTCATCAGAAGCCCTATACGAAGACAAACAACCGCAATACGGTCAACACGAGCACGGAAATTATTGATTGATATAATGTCATGTTTTGCTAGTCATAATGTAATACTTATAATATTATGTTACATATCTTATTCTGATTATTTTTTGTTACAAAAGTAATTTTAAATGTTTTTGTTTTATGCTAATATTTTGTATTATAATATAATTAGTATAATTATATGTATTAAGATAATAATATTATGTTCTTAAAATAAAGATTTGTTTTAAAATATTTTTCTATTTTTGTTCAAAAACACATCGCTAAAAACCACAAAAATAAAATGTTATTTATTACATCCAGGTGAAAACTGTTGAGTCTGTGAGTGTAAGTAACAATGAGTTGTACAAATTTGTCATACGTCATAACTTTAACTAAATCAACAATCTCATTTTAAACGAGTTTTGAATTAATAATTTGTATACATGCCATGCCCATACTATATTGTAATTTAAAATTATAATATTGACAGTAAATAACACAATAATACAATGAGTTGTGTACATTCATAAATAAAGCTCGGAAATTATTGCACTAAAAAATACCTAAAATTTCACTTAAAAATTACACCGTAAAATGTATTTATTTTCATTAGAAAGTGGCATTAGATTAGGAGGAATGTTTGAGTATAATAATGCTTTACAAAGATCTCCAAAAAACGTAGATTTTTTTAGTATAACGTAAGTTGTTGCCGTAGTTTTGAGGTTGTAGCATTTTGATGGTGATTTACGGCCCGAGTTTATTGGACTTAGAACGTGATTCATTTTTGGTCGAAAACATAGCTCACGGCTTCAATCGATACTCCCAATATAATATTCCGATATTTGAAAGCAGATATGAATTTGCCACTAAATTATCTATGCTTTGACAATTTCATTTTTCTAATTCTTATTTTTTTTTACTTAGAAATTTACTAACAAAAATAGTAAAAATACATCATATTCATAATTCAAATTTAAATACATTGATATAGACTGTGAAACATGTACGACAGTCAAAGCATATAAAATTTAGAGGAGGATTAAAATCTGCTTTCAAAATTAAAATTTTGACATCCTACTGAGGGTAGAGATTGAAGTCACTGACAGTATTTTTTTGAAAAAAATGTTTGTAATTCTATAAAGCAATACATGGTGACTTGTGGATGCACGTAGGTAAAATGACAGACGTACATACCAGTCATTATGATGCCCCTATAAAACGTGATCAGTACTACGAATTAGTAATAACACACACTAATGTTCATTTAATTTCAACACATTCACAAGACCCAGATAAACAGTAATATAAAATTTCTAGTTTTTACTCCTTATAATTGATTACGCTCCAGCCCCCTTAAAAAAGTGTTATGTAACTATGTATTTTCGATCTAAAGATAGGTACCTACTCGAAATATTATTTAGCCGTATACTCTAATTTATCTTCAGATAAGTTTCTGGAAAATAATAATCGCGTCATCATTTTATCGCATATCTGGTACCGGTCATCATATCAAAGCCAAAAAAAAAATAAATATGTGAGTTACATTTAAAATCATCTAAAATTGTAAAAATTGTAAAATTCAACAAAATTGCAATTTAATTGAAAAATGCCAAGATGTATTGCAATAAGTTACACTAAAAGTATTTAGATTTAAATTCGTACTTGCATGAAACGAATTTAAAACATACTTAGCAGCAAATCTTGAATATCATAAATTACTTTTATAATAAATTAATGAATTATAGAATGAGATTTATTGATTAATATTGTATAAATAAATCAACGAATAATTAATAAGAAACTCTATGGAGGCTCGGAGCGGCACAGTGGCTGGAATCAATCACGCAACGTGATTGAGAGTATGCAACGGCTGCTGCTACTAGTTCCCGGATGGGTGACCACCCAGGTCCATAGTGGCAAAAACCTTGCCACACATACATGTGCTGCCAACCAGCCGTAACAACCCTACCAACCATAACCCCTACAATAGCTAATAACCATAGTTTTCGGGCTATAGACCAATAAAAAAAATCAATTTTTTTTAAACTAAATTATTATGTACCTATAAAGATGTTGAAAAATGAGGATTTTGTTTTTTGTTAATATCTCTTATTTTGAAATTAATAATGCCTACGAGAAATGTTACTTTTAATATTATTAGAACAAATTCAGTAAAGTTATCAAAAAAACCTTGGTTTGGTGGCCAGAATTCCATGTTAATTCAAACATAATAAAATTTAATAATATGACACATGCGTCTATTTTATTTATTTTTTGATCTTGAGCCCGTTAACTATGACAATTAGCTATTTTATTGATTATGGACTAAGTAAGGCGAGATTGTACATAACACGATTGAGCATATACCTTATTAGCAACACGATCGAGTATAGACTATTTTATAGGATGTTGCCACATTCACGTGGCCGAAATTTTGTAATTTATTATTTTAACGTATTAGTACACCAATTATTATTATGATACCAGATGCGAGCCGTGAGCTGAGCCCATGCTTTATCACCAATGTTATCGATTAATAAATTATAGTTCTGACGTTTTAAACATTTAAAATTGGGGAAAATAACTATGGTTGGTAGGGTTGGTATGTTAAGGTTGCTACTGTAGTTACAGAAGGTAAACAACACATATATAAGTGGTAAGGTTTTTACTAATACAATCAGTGGACGTTATATTACTATCGGTGATACGGGCTCTCATTGGTCCCAAAAAACTATTTTACTTGATTTTCAGATAAAGGCTCAACAATTTTAACAAAGTTTATTGTAATTAAATATTTAAATGTGTGTTACAATATAACATATAATATATATATATTGTACATAAATGTCATTCTTGGAATACTTTTGTTTTTATATTATTCTTCTATAGCATTTGATATATTACTGCATTTTTTTTAAATTACCTACATCTTATAAGTTGTTGTATAGTTATACCTAAGTTGCAACATGTTGCTACTGTCAATTATAATGTATACATTATTTTGAACATTCAAAATACATTTTTTTAAATATATTGAATTGTGGATGTGATATATAGAATGATTATTCATTATAATTTGCTCGAAAAACTGCACAATTATTTGTTGTTATGGATATACTTTCATTAAAATAAGGCAATATTGTTGGTGGAAAGTAACACAAAGTTATATGGGAACTTATTATTTGGTAATTTTGATACCCTTTCCAGAAGGAACAGAGATATCGTTTTGCTACTTGTTTTATGCTCAAATTTATTGTACTGCTGAGTACTTTTCTGCTCTGTAACTTTCCGTTATTTTAATGTTTATAAAATATTGCCCATCGTACAAAAATTAATGTACACAAATTTATTACGATATTTAATAAGTAAAATAAAATTTGTTGTACCTTATGAAAATATTTTTTATAAGCATTATGCTTGAATATGATTTTTCTGTATTACTTTTAAGTAATTACTAGTGTTTTCATTAAAATATTGTATAGGTAGGCTTAGTTATAATTTTACATGCTATAATATGGATACTACAACTTGATATTATATTTTTACTAATAATTTTACATTTTTAGATGTATAGATTTATAAAGTTGTATTTAATATAGATTTCTCATTTGAATCAATTTGTCTTTCCCCACTATATTTTTTATTCACATTAGGTGAAAAAAAATTATTCTATTTTACTACCTTAACAGTTAGCCTCAAACTATTGGAGAGCGTTGTAGTAAAAGGTAAAAGGTAAACAAAATATTTCGTTCTATTTTACTACCTTAATAATGTGCCTAAAGTTACCCAACAAAACCAATCAGTTAGTTAAGTTAAATCTGATTATCATATTTTCTTCAATAATAAATTCAAATTAATCATGTCGAATACAAATTATTCTTTTTAAATGAAACATACACAGAATCCCGTTCGTAATTGTTGTAATCCATAGAACATAGAACATGTAATTGGTAGACTAGTGGAGGAACAAAATATGTTTTAATATATAATTATGTATCCAACATAAAATTGATAAAATTAAATCTAGGTTATAGATTATTCAATAAAGATATAACAATATGTATGTAAATAAACATTAATTGCATTCACAGTGACTTAATTTAAAACTGTATTATCAAATAATATGTATAATTTTTATTTCAATAAGTCTACAACGGTATAGAAGATTTTATTAAAATAAATAAGTAAAATACTAAGACAATTATCTTAGTATTTTACTTACTTCCTACGGCTTTAAATTTAATGAAATAACAATTTGTTTCTTTTGCATTATTTCCTTAAAAAAATTATTATGAAATATCATATAAAAAAATAATAATAATGATAGTTAATATGGTCTAATAAACACAAACGACGATAATGTTGAATAGAAAGTATAATATACATACTAATATATCACCGGAGAAGGGTATAGTGGGAACACATGGATGAAGCTTAATCGTTAACATCATATAATTTGTTTACTACAAAAGCTTAGCGCGCAGACTAAACAGGCATCAGTCGATCGTTTCATTCAAATCGTATAACAATGATGAGGATTTCACTGACAGTTTGCGTTATCGTGCTGTGCTGCAGCGTTTCTGCTTTTGGCGGAAAACTGCCAGACGAGAAGAAAACGTCTGACGACGGAAAAACCCACGACAAGTGAGGCATTTTCGACACCGGCTATGGATATGAAGCGGGTGACGATCATCAAGGACACGGCAAAGTATTGTCCAAAACCATCATCAAGGAAGTCGCCCAACCGTACCCAGTCGAAGTCGAGAAACACGTACCGTACCCAGTAAAGGTCGAAGTTCCCGTCGATCGTCCTTACCCAGTGCACGTGCCCAAGCCATATGCGGTCCATGTGGAGAAGCCCGTCCCATACGAAGTTAAAGTAAAGGTGCCGCAACCTTACACCGTTTACAAACACGTTCCATATGAAGTAAAGTATCCGGTTGACAAGCCGTACACCGTCCACGTGCCCAAACCGTATACCGTTTACGTTTAAAAGCGCGTCCCTTACGAGGTCACCAAACACGTCCCTTACACCGTAAAAGTGTACGTCGACAAACCTTACACCGTCCACGTACCAATAACGAAACACGTACCGTACACCGTCGAGAAGCCGGTACCCTATACGGTCAAAGTTCCGGTGGACCGCCCATACAAGGTTACCGTGGAGAAGCACGTGCCGTACCCTGTCGACAAACCCGTACCCTATACCGTCGAGAAACCAGTACCTTACCTGGTCAAATTTCCCGTGAAAGTCGAAGTGCCAGTGCCGTACAAGGAACACGAAAATGAAGACAAATACTCTTCATCAGAAGCCCTATACGAAGACAAACAACCGCAATACGGTCAACACGAGCACGGAAATTATTGATTGATATAATGTCATGTTTTGCTAGTCATAATGTAATACTTATAATATTATGTTACATATCTTATTCTGATTATTTTTTGTTACAAAAGTAATTTTAAATGTTTTTGTTTTATGCTAATATTTTGTATTATAATATAATTAGTATAATTATATGTATTAAGATAATAATATTATGTTCTTAAAATAAAGATTTGTTTTAAAATATTTTTCTATTTTTGTTCAAAAACACATCGCTAAAAACCACAAAAATAAAATGTTATCTATTATATCCACGCGAAAACTGTTGAGTCTGTGAGTGTAACTGTGTAAGTAGCAATAACTTTTAAAAATTGGTTGTACGTCACCGTAGTCTGTAAGACTGTAACTAAATCATGAATTCGTTGATTTCGCTGGTTGTCGTCAGTCGATTATCAACGATAAGTTCCCAAACAAGACGTTTGTTCTGAATTGCGATAATGTGTGTAATATTAAACTTTTTACGCATTTCATAAGCAACATACCTACCTGTTAGATTATTATATATTTCAGTCATATACTCATATGGTTATCCGTATAGGGGACTATATACGAGTATACGACCCGTATAGCTACATATCGTCGCCTAAGAACCATCATGGCCAATCTCAGTTTTCCCAACTTTTCAGGGTGAACAAAAAACTGTTTTTTTGTTAGGAATTTTGAATGTTGGTAGACCTTTTGACATTAAATAACTCTAAAAAGTTTAATCTTATTGTCAATAATAATAATAATATTAGTAATACTGATTTCATCGAGTTTTTGGCTGCTGACGGCTCTCTATTAATAGTGGTAATTCCAATAATTTTTAGATTGGCCATGATAACAATTTTTTTTTTTGATAACAATTTTAGATAGGCCATGATACCACATATGATACCGCTAATAAAAATTTTATATAGGCCATGATACCACTGATAAAAACAATTTTAGATAGGCCATGATGACTTTTAGAATATTTATAGCAAACCTATTGGACAAACATCGAAACTAATCACTTGGTCTTATGCGTCTCGAAAATACGAATCTATAGATATCTGATATATAAAACATATATTTGAATTTTTTGAGATTGGCCATGATGGTTCTTAGGCGACGATATTCACTTTGACATTATCCCTATAATGCATAATAAATAATAATATAATATTAGTGATTGTAAACTGTGCCAAAGTTACAGGTAAACATAAAATCAGACATGTAAACTGCACATCTAAACTGAGTTATTATCAAATTTAAATATTTGATATGTAAGCTTCGACTGGGTAAAATTTAAAAAATCAATAGGTAGGTATATTTTTTTAGAATCTAACAAAATTACAGAATTATAAATCTTAATACTAAGAATTAACAATACTTAATATTTTATTATTGTATAAATAAATCAAAGAACAATTAATAAAATACGCTATTTATCTAAACTAAATTATGTTGCATCTATGGGGATGTTGTGAAATGAGAATTTCGTTTTGCGTTAGTATCTCTTCTTTTGAAACTAATAATACCTACGTATTATCAAATAATTTCTCTTCTTTTAAATTGAAGTAGTTTTAATATTTATTTAGGTACAGCTACGTTGTCATAACTATCAGACGTATACTAAATACGTATATTAAACTGGGGGATATAAAAAGATTTTTATGTTAAATTTTACAAGACACTAAGTTTCACCAAGTACAATATAATTTAAACGTCATTAACATTAAAATATGTTAGTATATGATATATTTTACTTTACCGATGACCTAGGTGTCTAGAGTTGAAACGAAACTACTACAGTATGTCACGTCATACTTGCAAATTGCAATTGCCTGTCGACGTTTTAATATTATTATAATTGATTTAGTAAAGTTATCAGAAGTAGTTTATGTAGGTGGAACTCCATGTTAGTTCAGACAAAAAAAAATGTTATATGACACATGGAGTGTGTACTATAATTTTTTTTTTTTGAGCTTGGGCCAGCAATTGTGGTTATTAGTTATTGTAGGGATTATGAACTATGGTTTGTAGGATTGATATACGGTAAGGTTGTTACTGTAGTTACGCAACACGTGTATGTGTGGCTAGGTTTTTGCTACTACAAATCTGGGTGGTCACCCATCCGGGAACTTGTAGCATCAGACGTTACTTACTCTCAGTCACATTGCATGACTGATAACAGCTAACGCGCCGCTCCAATCTACATATTATTATAACTTATAAATAATACATAATATATCATAGTAAATAGCTAAATTCCGTAATAATATGAAAGAAGTGTGTTTCACTGCATTATACTAGGTACCCTCGCAAATAGCTCATAGATTGATAATCTACAAACAATACATTTGAGGTCGCGACAAATTCAGAAAAATGAAATAAACCTATTTCAATCAATGGGTAGAATAGTATTTTCATTTCCATTATATCAATTAAAAATACATAGATACCTATCAGTTACATCGTTTAACAATGAAAACACTTTCATTGGCTTTTTTCAAATTCTCTAAGAGTAGGTACAGTGATTATATATTGATGACTATTTATTTTGTCATACTATGCAAATAAGTTGTGTAACAGGGTGTTTTGTATCAGCCACCTCTACGCTATTCTTATCACTATTATTAGCTGCAACCAAACGTCTAATTACGTAAGTCACTATAGGTTACATAGGTACGCTTTAAACTTCCACAGAGATTTATCATACATGTTTAAGGATTTTAAGCATCACGAGTTTTGAAATCAAACTTGTCGATCTCGACAATACTATAAATTATGTGACAGATAAAATTGTAAAATAAACATTTTTTAAATATATTCCCTAAGAATTACATAATAAAAAATTGTATTAATGGCAATACGGATAACATAAAATTGTTTCGAAATCGTAAAAACGTTCAATTTAAATTATTATGATTTAGTATGATATATCAATATAGAAAATTATACAGGTGAACGACGATTTACTTGCAATAAATCGATAAATACTGCAAGTGCCCAATAATTATTGTGGTTTAATTTACATTATTATAATGAATTATGGATAAAATAAATCTTTATTTATATTTTACATAAGAAAATAATGATATAGCACACGTAATGTTAAGAACCAACGTATCATATTTTGGATAACCGTTCAATACCAGAGACGTTTCAATTACATTGTCTTACACAAACTACAAAGTGTTATGAAATTGTACAAAATTGATAGTACCATGTAAAAAGTAAACAGTAGGTAGGCGATAGACAACAATAGAAAGTAGACGCGTGCAGTGTTTCAATCTATGGCCGAACTGAGAGTGGGGGCGACGCACTGGACTTCATTGGTGCAAGACACAGTGGTCACTACAAAAGCCGAGCTCGCAGACGAACGGACATCAGTCGATTGTTCCGTTCAAAACGAATAACAATATGAAGAGGATTTTACTCGTGGCGTCCGTGGTCGGGTTGTGCGCCTTTGCTCTGGCGGCGAAAACGGAGGACGAGAAGAAACCAGAGTCCGATGACGGCAAAAACCAAGGCAAGAGAGGCATTTTTGACACCGGCTATGGATACGGCTCCAGTGGTTTCGGCCACGAGCTGACCGGTCATGACTTCCACCACGAACCACAAGTACTGTCCAAGACCATCATCAAGGAGGTTGCCCAACCGTACCCAGTCGAGGTCGAGAAACACGTACCATACCCTGTAAAGGTCGAGGTGCCAGTCGACCGCCCTTACCCAGTGCACGTGCCCAAGCCATACCCAGTGCACGTCGACAAGCCCGTCCCGTACGAAGTCAAAGTGAAGGTACCCCAACCGTACACCGTCTACAAACAGGTTCCTTATGAAGTCAAGGTACCCGTCGACAAACCTTACACCGTCCACGTTCCCAAACCTTACACCGTTTACGTGGAGAAGCGCGTCCCTTACGAGGTCACCAAGCACGTACCATATGAAGTTAAGGTTCCTGTTGATAAGCCGTACACCGTACACGTACCGGTAACGAAACACGTACCGTATACCGTCGAGAAGCCGGTGCCTTACCCGGTCAAGGTTCCTGTGGATCGCCCGTACCCGGTGACAGTCGAGAAACACGTGCCGTATCCTGTAGACAAACCAGTGCCGTATACGGTCGAGAAAGCAGTGCCGTACCCTGTCAAATTTCCCGTCAAAGTCGAAGTACCTGTTCCATACGAAGTACCGCACCACCATGAAGAACACTCGTACGGTGGACACTCCTTCAGCGAACACGGAAGCCACAGTTATTAACATGGATCAGATTTATATATTTTGTAAAAACTATGTATACTTGTAACTTAAAATGTAATTCGATTTAACGATTGTAATATACCTTGTACATGAAACTCATACCATTTTGAATATAGAATAAATACTTTTTACTTTATACAAACTTACTTTTGATGGTTGTTTTTTCAGCCAACTCCTTGTTTATCGATCTGGTTATGATTTTTGAACTATTTGGAAGTCGTATATTTTTATACAATAGAAAATGTATAATATTGAATATCTCAATCCACAATCCGAAATCTCTTGTCATAAAATCAAAAACAATAAGCGAGGCCATTTCATTTGAAGTTTGCCGAATGGTGCATATTGGTTCTCAACACTTCAATAATAATTAGAGTAACGGGTACGCATAGTTGAATTTAATCTGTACACAAAGTTGTCCAACTTTTTTTTCCTTGTTTAATATTTTACTTGTATAACAATTATTTTATCTTTTATAAATCCGTAGGGGGTTGGGTTGGTGCAATGCATTGTGGCGCCCATGTTAAAATTATAAATCAAAAATATTTATGATAGATAATTGAAGATAATTTATGACTTATTAAAAGTCTAAATTACATAATATATTAATATTAACAGTCACATAAAATTTTTTACTGATCCAGTTTTTCTTTCGGTTTTTTTATTTTTTTTTTATTTTTATACTTTATATTTTGAAATATAATATTTATATAATAATTTGGTCGGTAACATGTCGGGTTCATAATGTGTATTTCTGAACAATAAATTATTACCAACGGTATTCTATTAGCATTAGCTGCAAATAATGCTGTTTTTAAGTTACTTAATATGACATTACAGTTTAATTTGCTACGGTCGCTGCATATAACTGCATACATCGAAATAAGTAAAGCGTATACTGGTCTGCATAATACGTTTGTTGTATAACTTGTGTATGAAATAGTAAAAATAGAATTGTTTTAAATATTCATTATTCTTCTATCCGTGAACTTTTTTTCAGAAGTTTTTAATGTTCACGAAGTTATCATTAATGCTTTAATTATCTATTAAATATTCACACGAATGATGTTTAATCACCAAAATATATCATGTAGAAGGAAAAAATAAAAAATGGAACAAATATTGCGGAACTCTTTATATAATTGTAATTGTAGACACCTGTCCAGTGGCGTAGCCAGGGGGGGTTTTGGGTGTTTAATCACCCCCCATTGAAATTTTCCCCCCTAATAAATATATTGTTTATAGGGTTCGGGACTGCTTGCATGTTTCATTGTAGTGGTAGTAGGTTATTTTAGATAAGTCATAAATTTGTCTTATCAAACAAAGTTTGAATTTGCAGATTTTTTCAAATTGTAGGAAAATTGTACATTTGAGCGATTTTTCGCATATTTGTGCATGTTTTAAATTTTTTTAACTTAAATGTAGGTACATACAATTGTTAAAATCATATTTGGATAACATTGAAAAATATCTTTAAAAATATTATGTTTGGTTAGGTATACAATAGGCGCTGATTTTGAGATTTGGGGAAGCCGAAGCCTAAAACCATACTATTATAAAATTTAGTAAATGTTTGGGAGACCTGTTTAAGTTCTTGGTGGAGCTTGGCTACGGTTGGCCCTATTTTCGCATATGGTACGTAAGACTTTATAAGTGTTTTGTGACAAGACTGTGTTAAAACTATAATTGGCATCTAGATTCTAGATTGTACGAATAAATGAAAATCAGTAGATATGTGTTCGTTTATCACGGTGTTCGCATATCACGTTATTCATTATTAGGTACTCATTTATTACCTAGTATTTTATACCAGCATTTTTAAAAATCAAGTTTTATTTCATAATAGTTTAAAAATATCCAAAACATGCAATAGTATCCTCCGTCCATCATATTAATCATTAATCAATATAGGTACCTATACCTATATTAAAATTTGTATACCCGTGTTTAAATTATTTTTATCATGTTTATATAGGTACCTACTTATTTTTTAGTTTTTTATTATAAAAATTGTAATAATATGTTTTATGAATTTTTCAAAAATAATATAAAAATGTAGCTACATATATTTAAGCATATTTTGAAAATCTTGACTGCATATTTCGATAGTTTTTAGTGCAACAAGTCAAGTCCCAAATCCTAAATTTATTTATATACGAAAACTGTAAAAACTTGGTTTTAATCTATACTTAAACACCCCCCATTTCATAATTCTGGCTACGCCACTGCACCTGTCAAAATATAATTAATTATTGTTATCGTTCCCTATATAGTTATATCACAATGACTTAGATATAACTTTTGTTATTATCATTTGTATTAATTTTACAAAATATTTGATCAAGTAATTATATATCTATAACTTTATTGGTAAATAGTAAACATATTAAATTCAATAATTTATTGAGAGTATATTACCTATAAATATTAAGGTTAATTTATTGATATTTTATATTATGAGTAATAACAATTTTTAAATATTGTTATTTACTTTTATATTATACTGATTAATTGCATACTGCCTATCAATAATACCTGTTATTTACACAGGAAAGTCACAATATGCATGTGTTTAAATTTTAAAATTAAACAATGTTCATTAATAAACTATCATTTTTAATCATAATAATATATTGGTTTAGGTAATCATATAATTCATATTATTATGAATTATTTATGATTAATTATTTTTAAATTGTTGATATTGTCAAATATTTTGCTCGAGACTATACGGACACAAGTGCTAAATGCTTGAACTGTTCAAGTTGATCAAATTGTGTGGAACTGATTTTAGTTTAGATATTTATTTAGAAAATAAACTTTTACATAAAATGTTCTCTTCCAGTTTTGGACCGAAATGAGGAGGAAATATATCCAGAGATCAACGTCATCTGAATAGTAGACATATTATGCTCCCATAAATTATATTATCAAATTGAAAAATAAAACAGATTTTAATATAAAATAAGTCTTTATTTGATTATTTATTAGATATATCTATTTACATAAAATTCGTTATCAACCGAGGTAAGTACATTATATCGTTGAATACATATTTTGGTTTCGGTATAACTGCGACACAAAACCTAACCTAACAAAAACAATACAATATGGACATAATATAGTAATGACTTATGACTAGCAAAAAATAATTTAAAAAGTTATCGATAATTATTGTTCTCTGGTTCGCCTTGTTGCTGTGATTGTTCTGAGTGTTCGTCAGATTGTTGTGCTTGTTCGGCGCTATCATCTTGTTTTTGTAGTTGTTCTTCGTTTTCATATTGTTGTTGTTGATGTAGTTTTAATTCGTGCACATACTGCTGTTGTGGTTGCGACTGTTCTTCGTTTTCATACTGTTGTTGTGGATTTGGTTTTATTTCGTATACATACTGCTTTTGTGGTTGCGACTGTTCTTCGTTTTCATACTGTTGTTGTGGATGTGGTTTTATTTCGTATACATACTGCTTTTGTGGTTGCGACTGTTTTTCGTTTTGATATTGTTGTTGTTGATGTGGTTTTAATTCGTGGACATACTGCTGTTGTGGTTGAGACTGTTCTTCGTTTTCATACTGTTGTTGTGGTTGTTGTGGTTTTACTTCATGCCCAAACTGTTGTTGTGGTTGCGACTGTTCTTCGGGTTCGTAATGTTGTGATTGAGACTGTTCTACGGGTTCGTATTGTTGTGATTGAGACTGTTCTTCTGGTTTATACTGTTGTGGTTGATATTGTTCTTCGTGTTCGTATTGTTGTAGTTGTGTCTGGACTTCTGGTTTATATTGTTGTGGTTGAGATTGTTCTACAGGTACGTACTGTTGTGATTGTGACTGTACTTCTGACTTATATTGTTGTGGTTGAGATTGTTCTTCGTGTTCGTATTGTTGTGGTTGTGTCTGGACTTCTGGTTCGTACTGTTGATGCTGTTGTTCTACTTTTTCTTTAGGCTGTGTCGGCCAAAATAATTTTTGTTCATGACCTTTTACTTCATAAGGCACTGGGACTTCAACTTTGATAGGAACTTTGACCGGATACGGCACTCGTTTCTCGACGGTATAAGGTACAGGTTTTTCGACGGGATACGGCACGCGCTTCTCGACGGTTACCTGGTACGGGCGATCTACTGGTACTTTGACTGGATAGGGTACGGGTTTTTCGACGGTGTAAGGTATGTGTTTGTCAACTGGCACCTGTACGGTGTACGGCTTGTCCACGAACACCTTGACGGGATAAGGGACGTGCTTGACGACTTCGTAAGGTACTCGCTTCTCGACGTAAACGGTGTATGGTTGGGGCACGTGAACGGTGTACGGTTTGTCGACGGGTACCTTGACTTCATACGGGACTTGCTTGTAGACAGTGTACGGTTGTGGCACATTGACTTTGACCTCATACGGAACGGGCTTGTTCACGTGGACTGGATATGGCTTGGGCACGTGCACCGGGTAAGGGCGGTCGACGGGCACTTCGACCTTAACCGGGTATGGTACGCGTTTCTCAACTTCGACAGGGTATGGTTGAGCCACCTCCCGGATGATCGTTTTGGCGATGACCACTCGCTGCTCGTGCCCGTGCTGGAAGTGTGGACCGCTTACCACGTTACTGAAACTGGTAGCTCCGTAACCGTAACCGGTGTCAAAGACGCCTCGCTTTTCGTGTCCTTTGCCGTCGTCCGTCATCGTCGTCGTCGTCGCTGCCGCTGTTGTCGTCACCGTAGCGTTCTCCTCGGTATTGTTGGTCTTCAACTCCACTCCGCCAGCGACAAATGCGCACAGCCCGACGACGTACGTCATTCTCCACAATATTACAGTCATCGTTATGGAAACTCGCTTAGTGCTCGCCAATGGGTAGGTACGTCCTATGTGAACGCTGCGATGGACTGATGTCCGTTCGTTCGCACGCTTGGCTTTTTGTAGTGTGTATTGTGTGATCTAACATTATACCACGGTTCGCCTAGGAATTCTGTTGTAGAGATGACCCCCCTCCCCCTCTAACGTTTTCCGCACTAATCTACTTTCTAATCTCAACGAATTGTCGCATAATAATATTATAATAATGTCATAACACGTTTTAGGATAAACGATACTTTTATACCAACGGACTTTATTAGTGCGTGATACGAAAATCGTTCGTCTAATTATAACACCTTAATAATAGTGTTACATGTATTATGATGCTGTTGTTGTTGTTGTTGTTGCTATATTATATTATTACGTTAATTCAGTAGTAGAATTTAATATTATTTATTACATTGTTATAACATGTTGTGTGCGGACTTATAGATATTTATGTTTTGTTCGAAAAAAAATGTAACAAAATATCATCATAACGGTGAAGAATAACATTTTCAAACTAATATTATATTATATGAGACACATAGTACCTACATAATACATTTTTAAAATTGAAACACCTACATTAACTAAATAGTTTTTAAACGTTTCGTCATAACTAATCGATTTGATCAAAAGAAAATATTTGACGTTTAGGTATATAAATTGATACCTATTTGTTATGCCTAGTAATTATTCTCAACTTTTACCATACATTTTAGATGTTCGGTGGTTAGAGATACTTTCATATTTTGCCTATCTATTTTACTCATCCAATTATTGAATTTTTAATTAGAGTATAATATTATAATATATAGTTAAAAACAAACTATCGGCTCTGATTAATGTATATATAGTATATTATTATAGTATTAAATAATATTAAATCAATACTAATATTATTCAACCATGGTTTATCATAATAAAATATTAAATTGTAGTTAATTTAAATCATTCGTGAACCAGAATAAAAAAAACTACCTAAAAAGGCATAATTAATAATACTTATAATTTTTAATTTTGATTTGTTCATTAGTATGTTATTATAGTTTTTTTAAACACATACCTATACCTCATAATGTTATGACATTATGAGTGTTATGACTGATAAATTTAAATAGTAAATTACTCGTAAAGATAGTGAATTTACGCATCGAATATTTGAGTGCAAGATTCATTAAAATAAATGTAGTTGATAAAAAATAAATATTTAAAATAAAATTATTATGATAAGTATTAGGATTGGATATAATTGATTGTGATGTTTATTAATATGTATTAATTTAGTAAATTATTGAACAGTGTTAAATTCTAATATAATAGATATTCTACTATAATAAAATTAGTGTTGTAGTTTTATTGTGTTAATATACTATAGTAGCGTAGTGGCAGCTTATTAATAATAATAATATGTTAGGTATATCAAAATAACCAACTTTGTATTTTTGATTTAAATTATGTAGCTATGTGATCGAAAACTTTTGAATTGGTAAAAATAGGTAAATACAAATGGTAAAATAATAATGTACGAACAATGTTATAATGTTGTTGTTAAATTTAAATTATTTAATTAATTTTACTTCAGAAACTAATATGTTATAGTTATAGGAAGGAAATCGTGAGGGGGGCTTGAGTCGACTTAGTCCCCCCCACAAAAAAGTTTTAATGAGAGTTATGAAGGCTTAACCTCTCAAAGTATCCGATTAATATTTATCATTTTAACTGCATAGTACTTACAGTTATTGTAGCATAAATAATAAACCTAAAAGTTAAATCTAATTTAGAAACTGAAAACTTCCTAAAAATAAATCCACTTTTAAAAATTATTTCGCTGACTTAAACGTCATTTGGATAACTTAAAAGTCATGATATTGATTTATTAGAACTGAATATCTATAATATTTTAAAAGTTAAGTAAAATATATGTATGTAAATTAACATAAATCACAGTAAATGTTCTAATCAAACAAAATAAAAAGAAAGTTTATAATATATTATAAATAATATAATATAAGTAGGTACCTATATGGCTATATCAATTATAACTATTAAATAAGAATTTCAATTTCGATACAAGACCTAGTGGGATGTGGTGAATGGTGAATCTAGTATTTATAACTAATAAAGTTATTAGTTATTAGTTTTTCAAGTCTATAATATTTACCAGTATTTTTATTTATTATCAGTCTGTTTTGAACTGACTGCGGGTTAAAAAATAATAATATATTTGATGTTTATTCAATCTCTACAAAATTAACGAGTGCATATTATAATGTTTCAGAATCGATTTAGACGTACATGTAGTCGTATAAATAATTTTGAATTACATAAAAAAGTTTTCGAATAATGTATGTATATTTGGATAAAAATTAAACTCGCAGATGAAATACTTGTCAATACAATGTGTTATAAATATTAAAAGAACATTAAAGTTGTTGTATTTAATAGCAATCCAAATCTTATTTTTTATACCATTCGCTTTAGTCCAAGAGTACCTAGAGATATTAATGATACCTTTGGAATATAACTTGAAACTTTGAGCTACATACTTAAATACACAATTTTCGTTTAGATCATTGTATGCCATAGTGAACATACTCGTATTATTCTGCAGTACATTGGACAGTTTCATATTCTCTGACAAAAGCAAACAATACAGATAGCCCACATATTGTTCACGTATTATATACAAGTTATATATATACCCTCCCGATGATGTACATTTCCTTATACGGCTAACATAACCTTTTTTTCAATTAGTGGACAGCGGACAAATCCTTTTATCTCATATCATTCAACTATGTAGTACCTAATGAATAATGATACCGCTATACAGGAGGGTTTCACTCGGTGGTTGTAATAATTTTGATTCTAACGTATGTTGTATTATTTAGTATTATGATGTATCTTTTAATAAATAGTACTATAGGTATTAAAAATAAAAGCTTGACTAATAAAAACTAAGTATTACAATATTTTAAAATGCATGTAAATATGTATTACATTTTTCAGCACCCCCCCCCCCTTCCACATACAAAGCAATAAAAAATAATACTCCCAGTTACGCTATTGATGTAATATAATATTATTAGTTGATTACTCGGTCGGATTAATAAGCAATGGTCATATTATACTGTTTTTACATTAAAATAACTGTTGTTGTGTAGAATATTATGATAGTTAAAAAAATTAAATAATATACTAAAATAGTTCACTGTAACCGCTGGCAAATTAATTACTATTAAAACGGCATAAAACTTTTGTGTTAAGTGTAAGAATCTTATACAATCTCAATTCTAATTTCTCAGATTATGGTCACTTTAATAGATACAATAATATTATATATATATTAATTTATTATGTACTTATAATGTATTTATTAACATGCAATTTATGTGAACTCAATATAATATCAAAAATTGAAAGTTATAAAAAACATATAAAACGTAACTGTACCATGATGTTCGTATAGTTCAGAACTGACTGTTAAGAGCAGATCGGTGATCGTCTAATGGGCTATAGCCCATTTGTCAGACCAATAAACCGTCACGACGAATTAGCAACTAAAATTGGAAACTGCTTAAGACGGAGATAACATGAAAACGGATTTAATCAAGTACGGTTCATTGGGAGCTGCGGCTTAGGAATAAATGATATAATAAATAATTGAATTAATTAATTAATAATTTGTAGATACTAAATCGAGATTGTATAACTAGGATGACTCTATGACACAGGATGTGCCCCCAATGAATAACCCACCGGGAATTGGGAGAAAAGGTTTTAATTTGAAATACAATTGCGGGAGGGGAAGGGGGTACAGAGTAATATTCACTGGACGTTGGATCATTTCGAGTTCTGTTAGACACACTGTCGGAAGCTTCACAAGCTGCAGCTATATGCACAGATCATTGAACTTACAAATAACAGCAGTGTTTTTTCTGCTTCGCAATGTAGATAAATTACTATCGACGTCATTTCGAAGGTGATCGAAAATAACAGCCGTCTGTCCAGAACGTTGGACCGGTGGTTGTGATCGAAGAATTAAAGTCTCCCGCAGAAATTAAAACGGAGGATATTATGGAATTTATCATCACCGATTCGTGGACGTTTGAAAAACTCGCTGTAGGGACAGCAGTTCTCTTGTTCAAGGTGTTGAAGGTCGATAGAGTTCCGGAAAAACCAAAAATGACAGTGGCGGGGTATGGACGGAGGCACGGTGGTTAAGATAAAGTCAGCAGAAACAGCTGAACAATCTTGACACATCCGTCATAGGTTTTTTTCTATCTGCACTGGGGAGGCAACTACTCAAGGTCATATGTTGCCACACATATAATGAGGGTGGTACGGAGATTCGCGATGAACTCAACTGATTCTGTGATACGACGATGAAGAGTAAGATTGAGTGGATGCTTAATCCAAAATCCGTTATCACTGATAAGCACTGCTTGGTATGTAGGTATAGTGGTAAAATACTCTGTGCCATTGATAATCTGTTCAATATTTCAAATCACTATAGTTAAAGTTACGGTAGCTACCCTATGTATTATATAATTTATTATCATACCTATAAACAATGTATATAACGCCTCCAGAATTTGTAATTAATTATTTGTTTTTTAAATTATTTATAAAACTGTTTGTATACTACTATAATGTAAATATAAGATAAAACTTACTGATTTACAAAACACTTGTTTATTAAATTTACTTGTAACATGTGCATAGGATAAAACATTTCAAAAGCAATGATTCTAATATTCTGTAATAATGTAAATTAAAATGCAGTTCCTCAGTTGTAAACATAGCAGCAATATTTTTTTATATTTTGAAAAAGTTTAGAACGTCTCTTCCAAAATTGACATATATACATTAGTTTATACATTTAGTTTTATGTCATAACATATTATGCTTCCTCCCTCGCAATTTTTTTAAGCTAAATAACTCATATTCAAATCTATCCATTCAATTAATTTAATAATACACCGTTGGAGCCGTATTGATACTATAATTGTATAATTTAAAGTTATATAGGTAATAACAATATATATTATTCAATATTATATTAACGACGTATGACACATATGACAATATTATTTTAAATCGTAGGTATAATAATGTATTACATTAAATGAGTTTAAAAAAAAAAATCAATTAATTGATTGCATCGGGCGAGAAGCCAGAAACATATTACATGCCTACGCTATTTGAATAATAATTTCATTTCCATGTCAATAGAATTATTTAAACAGGTTAGTACTACATAAAATATATATTTTTAACCAAAAACAGCTTATTAAGTATCTACACCTACAATCTACATTAATATTTATCCTTCACTATATACAATGTTTTTTACTACCGATGCTCAACATACAACCATAATATAGTATACTTACTAGATAATAATATGTAATCTCTTTGTTTTGAATTATGATTTTAACCGATACGATATTATAACTATTTAAGTATTATGTAATATACTAATATGTATAATAGTATAATATTATTTATTTATAAATATTGCATAATAATAATAATTTTATAGTGAATACTTACTGAGTTTATGAAACTGACGGAACTAAAAAAAGTGATAACTGCAATGAAGTTGAAAACGAGTATGTTAAAATACAATGTTATCAATATAAGGTCAGGCGATATTTTTCAAATCTTTTTCGTTCGACTGTCTTGAGTTTAATGCTTTTTAAACTTAAGGGGCCTGCGCACGACCTCTTTTTTTACTCAAAAACATGCCTTACAGGAAAAACTCTCACGCCTCGTAGATTGGTCCGATTTCTGTAATTTTTTTTTTGTTAAATAGAGAAAGACTTATTACAGTGTGCATTGGACTTGGATTTTCAAAATCTTATATTACAAGTTTGAATTTAATCCATTTTTAAAAATGTTTAGTTTTTGTATTATTATTTGTTAAACGTAATCGAAAATCGAAGTCCAATGCGCCATGTAAAAAATATCTAACAAAAAAAAAATTTACGGAAATCGGACCAATCTACGAGGTGTGAGAGTTTTTCCTGTAAAGTGAGTTTTGATCGATATAATACACCCTATCAACCCGCAATAAATAGGTATTGGGTAGTAGATAAGTGGAAAATTCTTACAAATTGAGGTGGCAACTAAAATATAAAAATTTAATTTTCAAATTTTATAGAATTGCGGAAAATTTGAAAAGTCACGATCAAGACCCTTAAGTATGTATTCTTGAAATATAAAAAGACGTATAAAATGTACCCACTTACTTAATATTTTATACGTACATACGTAGTTCATGCCATACGTTTAGTTTATTATAATATTTTATGTAAACAAAACGTTTTGTTACCAACGTTTCCCGACTATGTGCACTACATAATAAGCTCAAATCGTTAACTTGGCTCTTCAAAGAACATACTATATTATTAGGTATGTCTTCTATAATATATTAATATTAATGATACGCTTGCTTCGATACTAACTGTAGTGTACAAGAAATAAAACCACTATAGGAATCCAATTATTATCATAGAATGGATCGATAAAAATAATAATATATATGTATATAGTATACAGCGAAAGCACTTTGATTTCAAGTTATATAGAAATATAATAATATGAATAACAAATTTTGCATAATAAAACATAAAAAAATTGTATATATTTACATAATAATATAATATAATATTTATGACAAGCTCAAAATATTCTAAACAGCGAATATAAAGAATGACTAGGTAGGTATAAGTGTACGTATTTAAAATATATGATCATAACCATGATGGTTTAAACCTTTTTCGAAATAGTGTCCAGGTTTTTTGTCAGAGAATTCATTGCGGTAGGGCCTCCACGACTCGTACGAAAAGGGCCTTTCCGTTTGAGTACCAGCCGTATGGTACGGTACCGGGACTTCGATTTTTAGGGGGACCTTTACCTGGTACGGGACGGACTTGTGCACGACGTACGGGACGGGTTTCTGAACAGTGTATGGTACATGCTTCTCGACGATCACCTGGTACGGCCGGTCGACTGGAACGGTGATCGGGTATGGAATCGGCCTTTCCACCACGTACGGTACGTGCTTCTCGTAGGGCATAAACACTGTGTATGGTCTGTCGACGAACACACCAACGTGGTAAGGTACGTGTTTGATGACTTCGTAAGGTACTCGCTTTTCGACCAAAACGGTGTACGGTTTGGGCACGTGGACGGTGTACGGTTTGTCGACGGGTACCTTGACTTCATACGGAACTTGCTTGTAGACAGTGTACGGTTGCGGCACATCGACTTTGATTTCGTACGGGACGGGCTTTTCTACCGGCACCGGGTATGGCTTGGGCACGTGAACCGGGTAGGGGCGGTCGACGGGCACCTCGACCTTTACCGGGTACGGTACACGTTTCTCAACTTCGACCGGGTACGGTTGGACCACCTCCTTTTCGACCTCCTGGTATTGGATTTTTGCGGGCCCGTCTGATATATTCTCACTGTGTGCGTCTTGGACTTGAGTGCCTTGCAAATCGTACGATCCTTGAACGTGTATAGCTTGGTCGTGTGTCCCTTGGTTTATCTGTATTGCTTGTCCATATGCACCTTGGTCGTGTTTCCCTTGATCTACTGGAACTGCTTGTTCATATGTTCCTTGGCCGTGCGTTACTTGGTTAAGTTGCACTGATTGTCCATATGTGCTTTGGTCGACCGTCCCTTGATCTACTGTTACTGCATTTCCATGTGTTCCTTGATCGTTTTGCAGCGTATCTTGGTCGTGTTGCAGTGTTACTTGTTCTGGTGCCACACCTTGTCCGTACACGCTTTGATCATATCCTCCTTGGTCAAGTTTTCCTTGGTCGAGTGTTCCTTGAACAGTTGTTCCTTGGCTAAGTTGTCCTCCTTGGCTATTGTCGGTATCGTACGTACTCCTCTTACTAACATCGTTTTTATTGATTATGTTTTGGCCAGCAACTAAAGCGCAAAATCCGCACACCAAAAATATTACTTCGTTCATCTTCATTCGATTTACATTCAATCGATCGACTGATGATCGTTCATCCGTTGCATCTGCTTTTGTAGTAACGCGCGAGAGAGTACCTTCCAAAAAGAAATTATTTCCTACTATTCCTCCTCACAAGATATGTCAAAAATACTTTCTACTGCAGTACTGGTTTTAAGTTTTTTTATTACCTATATTTATAATCCGGTGATAGTCCAAATGTTTCATTTTAATATACTCGTTTTATAATGTCATTGCAAAAAAAAAACGAGTAAACAGAAACATGTATTTCGGGTGCATTGTACGTAAGTAATGAAAACAATTTCATCGGACCGACAACGGACGGTGTTTAACTTAAATATCAATTCATTTTTCTCTGTCAGATGTTTAATTTTTTATTATTTATTATGATCGTTAATAATATGGTAGTATCTACTATATTTTATTATCTTTTTATCTAATGCAGTCGATACGAATTAACTGGAGTGTTTATGTAGGTACAGGAAGCAATTGCCCCTATTTCTTCACATTTGAAATCTACTACTGAGAAATTTGAGACTCTTGTAGCCTTTTCCCTATAACTAAATTATATTATGACCTAGAAATATATACTATTAATATTCTATTTATTCATTGTGTCAAATGTCAATTCTACCGACTGTTTGTTTAAATTTTACTTCTAGGTCATGGTTTGTGACTGTGTATAGGGGTGTATAGATAGTAATTTATTTTCTAGTGTTCTTGTCTCGTTTTCAGTGTTCATGCTTTTATTATGATATACACGTATTATTAGAGGTGTTTGTTTTTAAAACAAATATTCATTGGGATATAGAATTAAATATTTTTTGAACGAAATATTTTTTTTTTTTTTTGAGTAGGTAGATGCAGGTTTATACGAGTACATTTGTACCGATCTGGAGGAGGTTAAACTCATGTGGCGATAAAAAAAAAACATATTTATGTAGGTAGGTTTAATAATTAATGTAGGTATATATATTATTTCCTTTGTTAGATTACACGATATTCGGTTGAATACATTTTTTAATATCGCTCACTGTTGTACTGTAATAGTATAAAAAGAAAATATGGATGAACGAATTTAAATGAGTAAAAACACACTCTATTATTTCAACTGAACATAATATAAATTTAGTATCTTGGCATTGGAAAACAACCGCTTGTGTACGAACGACTCTAAAATAATTTTCTATACATAAGCATTTGGCACATATTACTATAGAAATGTACAAGACACATGTTGAACGAATTTCGATTTTTTTGTTTTACCCCTAATACGATGAGTATCACTCCCAAGGTTTATTTATGAACTATAACAATGTTATCACTACAATTATTTTAATAGTCATAACATGATGAGTATTTAATCTATATGACACAATCATATTTTATCACTCGATTACATTCATACATAAGAACAATTTATCATTAGACTACCATTATAAATAATAAAAATTAAATAACTAGCCTGTGATAAATATACTAATATTACGCGTACAAGTTCAATTATATTTGTCTTTGAAGGTCGATGGCGTAACGAACAGACTTGTCAACAATCGATATAATATAATATTATGCTTATTATCGTTTATGTATAATATTATTATGATCTCATTACACACGAATGCAGTGCCGGATCTAAAATAATTCTTACGCCCGTGGCGAATGGTATAGAATGGCATATTGGCATCAGCTCTATATGCATACATTTATACCGATAGTTAACCATTTCCCTCTAAAACCTATGGGTGACTCGTTAGTTTTTTTTGTTTCGTAGGTACATACTGCTCATCATTTACACTGTTGTGCATTTTTAATACAATAACAAATTAATACATTTGGAACCATTTGACTCAAATGAGCCCCCTCTTTGGACTGACAATGTAATAAGCAGCTGCAGGCGATTGTGGATACAATATACTAATATACTTTCCACAAAATGATACAAACATCGTTTGGAAATATTTTTTCGTCTCTACAGTAGGATCGTCCATATGGGGGTGGAGTATAATATACTGTAGTCCTCGAGACTCACCAGTCACCACTTACATTATGGGATATTAGAAGTAAGACGACTTTAAGTCCATGCTAAACCCAATGACAAGCATCAAGAGTATCAGCTGTAATAACGATATATTTAGATCATTGTCGCGGTGATACAAACGCGCCGCACAATCGCGTTATGTAAATCGTATATGTACAAAAAATATAAAATATGTCTATATTATACCATATACGAGTCGTATCCCGTTGCGTGCGTGTTTCGACCTTCTGCAGGTGTGATTTATTCGTGTTGGCTTATTAATTGTTCGTTTTCACTCATCTCAAGTCATACAATGTGTTACATGTGATCGGTTGAAAAACGATAACATGACGTACTTGTGTACAATACCCTTGCCACGCATAATAAATTAATTAGATCGACGCCGGCACGTGCATGGTCCGCGACTACGACGCCGCCGGGTGAAGGACCTGCACGGCGTTGGCGTCCGGTTTTTTAGTCTTCATAACAATTATAATATTATTATATTATTATGTTGTACCACGCAAAAGTCCGTGTTTTCGTTTTTGTGTTTTATCCCGAGTGCGAGAAATTCAAAGTTGTCCACCGCCTTGTAGTGTTGTAACCTTCAGGGTTACTCAATACCCTGAAATTTCACTCAACCCGCCGCCCGCCCTGACCAACACAACTATCAACAAAATGTGTTTAGTAAATGAACAATACGCACTTTGCTATTTTGTTATTATTATTATTTTCAATGAACGTACCTACCGTTCACTAGTTTTACATTAAAATACCTAGAACTTAATAAAATAATATAATCGTATTGAGTCAAATATCATGCATTGGTATAAAAGTTTTAATTACGCATTTACGCATACCCACAACTTACCAAATTCAGTATAAAAAGCATTGGGGTATTGTACGAAAATAAGTATCGAAGATTAAGAAGACTAGAAATCCCTACTTAGGACCTAACAGTAGGAATTCATCGAAGAGGCTGTCGAGTATAGTTTGCTGGAGAAAAAAATCTTTGCATTAGATTGTTGATTTAAAAAATAAAAAAAGAATAATAATATTTATATAATATGCTTTTTAGCAAATGTCAAATTTACTAAAATAATTGTTATAATTAATAATAATAACATAAGTGATATTACTAAAATGTATTATGAGTAAAAAGAAAATTGAGCCCCTCTCCCAAAAAATTGTCTAGATTCATCACACATGAATCGTTCCGAAAACGACTTTGCGTGGGCACCTATAGGTACTATCACTGATGATGGCTTGCCTTCTAATATTATGTACCGTTATTATTTTTGTATATTATATATTTAAATAGGTATTAGATAATTATCAAATTTGCTTATTGTGCCAATCCAGCAGGATTGTAAATATTTCTTTTTTAAAATAAATTAAAAAATACTTGTCAAAAATGACAAATGCGAAACGAATAATGGAAAAAAAATCGTACTGTTCACAATCCATAGTACCTTTATTGGTTCCACTGTTCATCGACAGAGACTAGTATCTGCGATTTTATAGCATAATACCTATAACAATTATTTTCTCATTTACAACGATCGTGGTGAATAATATATAATAATAACGGTCCGAAAGTCTAAAACGAAATTGTTCGATCTCCCATACCCTTCACACACGATTCTAACAATCATGATATATATTTTCTACATTTTTTATTTTGAGGGGGAGCGGGCTGAAAATTTAACTTTCAGCTAAAATGTTGAAATTACGGTATTTACAAAGGTATTACAGTATAGTATAATAGGTACGCATATGGCATATAATATGCAGCCATTGCGGTAGAATGGAACACTCGCTGCACTAGTGCAAATGCACGGTTTTTGTTTTTGTGGTGGGTGAAGGGGTGAAAATCCATTTACTAGTTTATCTGATGAAAACGGTCAATCGAGGGGAAACATATATTATTACCTATACGGCGTATACCGGAAAACGTATAATAATATGTATACATATATAGCTAATAATAATATGTATATTTCGGAGCACGGAACGCACGATTTAACGATATCGAAATTAATATTATAATAATGTTGTATCTGATGCAGTCGTAAACAAAACTTCATAACTACCTATATGATATAGAGGTACCTACCTACTAAAATAGACAAAAAACAACGAGTGTAAAATCTCACGGAAATGCGATCTGCAGACATTCCAATATTGGTCGACGGATGCACGAGCAATAAACTCGTTTACTCGTGTAGTCGTGTATAATATAATAAATTAACAGTAAGTATATAGTATTATTATATCATATATTATTATTATAATGTAATTTTGTGAAAAAGTGGACGGACCAATGTTATGGTAATAATATGAATCCGAGACGAACAGGAAGTGCTAACATAATATTATTTTCTAATCGAACGTTTTAATATTATTGGTCGAAGCCGATTATTGTTATTATACTTTGTGGAATATTGTACAACATAAAATAAAATGTATCATTTATAATATATTATAATATTGTTGGATTCGGCTTAAATCCTTGTCGTGTGGGTCGTGGGCGGGTGTTTGGAAATAAAATAACATTTACGTACTTTCGTTTTTACAGGTGTGTGATAAAATATATTTATTATTTTATAATAATGACGACATTTTTTGTGGACATTATAATATTTGCATACAAGAATATGTTCGTGTGCGTTACGTTTACGTAATTTGTTTTCATTCCTCAAATACCACAAAATATGCAATTATTGTCGTAAAAAAAATGGTCCTCTTAAACTCCAATCGATCTAAGCGCCGCATAACTCAATGTGTAAAACCGGTTGTTGGAGCTAAATTTAGAATCATTCGCCATATTAATATTTTATGTGAGTATTAGGACATTAAACTTGTACACATAATATTATTAATAGCTTCTTGTATTGCACTGCAGTTACTAAAAATAAACTTAAAAAAAAAAAGAATCTATAATAAATAAATATATAGCACCAGTATAGGAAAA